GGCCAGTTGAAATGTGCGAAAATCACATCAGCAGATCAATGAAGAAGCACACTCGGTTCTGACAGGAAATGTAAGTAGATATGTGGTGTCCTTGTTATCTCGTCTCAGCGGGGTCTCTCACAGCACGTCTGTCTCTCTCCTCAGAGCCTTGCTCTCTGTCACTCCTCCCTCCCTCTATCTCAGTCTCTCATCCTCACAGACTCTCGGCACAGAGACATGGCAGCAACGGACAGACATGGACCACTCCCTTGAGGCACGCATGTACGCACAAACATGCAGAGTAAGGCTTGGTTCTCTACATTACTTCAGATTGCCGTGCCCCTTTCTGTTTAGTTTCAGCGCCACTGACATTCTGTCATATGTGCACATGCCATCTATCCATTATGTCTGCTCCCATCTCCTCATTCAAAACATGACGGGCTGCCGCTGGTTTCTGTGAGAATGAAACACAGAAAGAAAGAAAAAACACCAAACTTTACATATTCTTTGAAGTCGTCAAGGCTTATTCCCTCGTTAACACGTCGGTACGAAGTTCACTGATGAACACGTTATCGAAGACGGTGTAATGTTCATAGCCTGTAGGCCAAAAGAATGGAACCTTACTTACAGAAAGTTCAACACAGCGAGCGAAAGAAGGAGCTCTCTGCCAGATCCCTTTAAGACAATTAATTCAACCTGTCTTGTCATCTCCACAGACCCCTGACTCTCAAGGCCAGTCAGGAGGAGGACAGACGGAGGGAGATGGCACGGGTCATGGAGGAGGAGTTCGTGCACGGACATAGTAATGTGTCTGCATGGCACATGTCAGAGTTTTCTTTGAGAGTGTTTCTGTCCAGGTGCATTCTCCATTCCTGCAATGCCTGTGTGCATGTACACTCAAAATTTGTGTCCTCGGCAGTGCTGTGCACACACACCGATCTGTCCAGGGGAGTCAGATTCTCCCCTAATGGCACCATGGGGACCAAAAGCATTATCATATTAAAAGGTGACATTTCACAGCCGGGGCCTTGCAGGAGTCTCTGCAGCCCGATCAGTCTGACAGTTTGACAGTCAAACCGACAGAAAAGGGAACGAAGACGACGCAACAGACTGTGGGGTGCAAAACAATTGGAATATGAGAACGTTTCTGCAGCATTAACGGCAGAAACACAAACTCCAAATAGGAGATTTGAATGATTGTTATTATAAATGATAACTAGTGCAAAATGTGTATACAATCTTGAAACTGATTCTAGTGAAATCCTCCTGATCAGACACAGAAAATTGTTTTATTACTAAAGTTTTAACTCCTCAATGAGAAGACCGCTAACATTAAAGCTATAATTTTTCTAGACTTCTATTAACGTGGGCATTAAAGGTTTAGGAGATACATATAAAGCAACCAAAACATACTAAGAAAAAAAGTACATAAAAGCTTTTTTGCATTTATTTATTTTATTTTCTGTACAAAATCCTAGAGGAGATGACCGTGTTCTCTGGTCAAGAAAAAGTTTCCAAAGCCACATTTCAAAATGTTGGCATTGATTAAAGTAAAAACATTCATTTATTTAATGAAACATTTCAACTCTATGTGGTGTGAAGGAGGCAAACATGCATTAAGTACACTGATTTTAATACTGGAACTTTTAAAATGACTGTGTAGAAATGCTTACAGTAAATATGCTATAATTTACACAACGTTTGTAATATTGATGCATTATATAACTTAGTTTATTAAAGCTCTAGGACTATGATGTCCAATGCTGAGCCTCAATCCTGCAGTTTGTGTAAATGTGTACGTTTATAAACTTCATGTCTAAATTTTATTAACTCAGTGATTTTACTTTTATTTTCCACAGTTGTAAAAAAAAAATCTACATTCAAAAAGTCATTAGGCACATTTTAGTCTTCAGTTTAAAAATCTTAACGTCTGATTCACAATCTGGGAAGAAAAATCAGACATTTGAAAAAAAATTACACATAAAAAATACATTTAATTGGTGAGTTTTGGTTCATGTAAGTCATGTTAATACATACATCTGGTAAATTAAATTGTTCCTCCCTCACCTTTAAGCCAGTATCTAGTGAACGATGGACATAAACACACACCTGCACGAAGTGTGCACGCAGACCAAGGACGTAATTTTCACTTTAGAAGTGGGGGGGACACGGGGGGGGGGGGGGGGGGGGGGTATCTTTACAGTATGTTCTAATGGGAAACCGGCTTCAACACAAACGGTTGTTTTCTGCTTGGTCCTAGAGCTCAACCAGTGTCAATTTAATATAGTGTAATATTGTTTTTGGATGGTAAAAAGTGCAGGGGTCAAAACTTGACTTTGGAAAAAGTGGGGGGGGACATGTCCCCCCTGTCCCCCCCCAAAATTACGTCCATGACGCAGACACACACACCTGCACGGAGTGTGCACGCAGACACACACACGCGTGTATACACGCACGCACATACAAATGCACAAACACGCATGCATGCACACACACACACACACACACACACACACACACACACACACACACACACACACACACACACAGACACACACACACACACACACACACACACACACCACCTTAGGATCAGCAGTTAAGGGGAGAATCACGGAGTCGGAGCCCAGTAATTGGCTCTGAACTGCAGCTTCAGCAGAAGCCTCCGTCCTGTCAGACCTGTCAGTATTTGCTGTACCTTACTGCTGTCACACGTTACAGCTGTTCCACCAGCCTCTTCTGCTACAGCTAATAATACTTCCGTCAATGCAGGGGCAAAAAAGAAGTGGCCATCCCCACTAGTATGGAAATATGACTGCAAGTCAGGCAAAATAAACAGAAAAAGGAACATTGCCAGAGTGAAGCAGTGAAGTGTGAGAAAGGGACTCCAGGAGACAGTGACACAGCAAGAAGTTGATTAATACAGATTGTTTATCAAACAGCAATGTCTGAGCACAGAGAGCTTTTCATCTGAGGTCTAATGATGTTACAGCATGAAATGATGCAAAACTGATGGAATTTCACATTTCAGATGGCCTGCAATGTGAGCAAGACCATTTCCTTCCAGCTTTCCACATCATAAGGCAACAATTACAGGAAGCACTTCTCCCTGCTTGGGTCCTGAGAAAGAAAATGCTCAAGTTGTAGGAGCTTGTAAAATGGTTTTGGATTCTTTCTGTTCCCTTCAGTTTCTTCATAACTATTCCATCAACGTGCTGGAGGCCATTCTGCAGAACGACTATTTGAGAAGACTCTGACAACAGCTTCGCAGCAGGAGTCCAGCGATGTTATAAGGAGCAAAGAGAAACAAGTTACTGTATGCCTTAAAAACTACTCTCTCTGAAACTAGAAAACTATAAAAAGCTGTGTTTCAAGTTTTCTGAGAGAGGGCATGGTATTTTTAGTCTCAGACTCTCAGTATCTGACAGTGATGCCCCAGAATTTCTTGCAGATTTTGGTTCCTGATCAGAAGTATAGAATCTGAAAATGTTCTGCCTCAAAGACCAGCTGTCATTAGCGTTTCTGCGCATATGATTTATTGCCTCATGTTACAGATCGGTCATATTCAGCAAATGTTGCTAAATCAGATGTCTATTTTGGCTGAAGTCTTAATTTGTTTCAACAATCTGATATTTCTAAACGTCAGCTGTCCATCAGGCGAAGCTGGTGCCATGAAAGAGCCGGACTCCTAGGCTGGTCTGATGCGAACACATGAAATGAGCACCGCTTCTAAACACTGCATTTTGTGACGGAGGGAGGAAATGTGTGAAAAATTCATTAACAGACCAACAGAATGTGACACTGGGCTTGCCTCGCTACAGAAAATAATTATCAGGCTGCTATTTCCGGTCCGAGCATTCAAAGGAGAGTAACGACCCCATTTTACCATCAGCTCTGGTCAACACTGGAGTAATCCAAACTTCTGATTTATCCCAAACACTTCCAGTTACTTTTGTCTGAATGTAACATAGACCGAAAGCAAAACTATTTAAAAAAAATACTGAATATCAGCCACTAAATATACACCTAAACTATGAAATTAAACTACAATATTTCAATTTTAAACATAAATCCATGATTGTAAACACATCACAAGTGGTTGAAGAAAAGATTGAACTGCTTGTATTCTTTGTGCATTATTCCTCTACTTGGTATTAGGGAAATGTGAATGGAATTTTATCACTGAACATTAAATGAAAATAACATATTTTCTGTCTTCACTGTACAAACAATACTCTCTTTAATCCCAAAAGAGATCCATCGCATGCGTCTTTGAGTTCAATTGTATTTGGAACTATTTGGAAAACTGATATTATGCACATAAGTAATGCAAAATGACACATTTTAGAATTATAGCTAAACACAATCCATATTGCATGTGCTGTATATTTTGTTTTGTAGAATAAAAACAATCGGTAAGGTGAAATTCAAACAGTACTTCTTGGAATAATGATGCATTATTAAAAATGGGAAATTTGAAAAACAGCATCAAAATAAAGCTCTAGGACTGTGATTTCCAATGCTGGCCAATAATCCTGCAGGATTTTAGTTTTCCAGCTGCAACTCTTGTGATACAATGGTTAAATTTTCTGTTCATCATTTGTAAAAGATGCCTGTTTACTGACGTGGATGTGCAGGAACAGAGACACATCTAACGCATGCAGGACCCGCATTAGACTATTCCACCTCAACGGATACCTTTGTTATTGAAAAAAAAAAAAAAAGCATCTCATGTCCTAATGGTTTAACAGCAAAACACACAAAACCTGTACACATACCTTCATAAGTACGGATTCACTGAGCTTCTCACGGTTGACAATCTTTACGGCAACTTTCTGGCACGTTACACAGTGGACTCCAAGCTTTACCAGACCTGCAAAAACAGAAAAGAAAAAGTCAGAACAGGTCGCCAAGGTGAAATGTTCAAAAAAGATTTGTTTGCACTTGAATGAGCTAATACGCTACAGGATGTGTGGAAGATGTTGCTAGTTTTGCACAGATATTGTCTATTGGCCAGCTCAACGTCAAATGTCTCATGAACTCAAGTTCAAAAATCCCATAATGACTTCTGAAGCGTTGGCGGTTACCTAAGTAAACAGCCCATCTGGGGTTTATTTGAGTCATAAAGGCGGTAAGTGAGAATTCATTCTGTGCTATTGATTCCTATAATGAAGAAAACCACTGAAATTCAGTTTTAATCTGAAATGGCAAAAAATGATTTCTATAAAAGCTAAAAGTCAGATGCTGAATGGAGCTAATTATTGATCCGGAAATATGAGCGAAAACATCGAACCATCACAGACATTCAGAGGGAGTTAATTTGAATGATTCAACTCAACAAGCATAACCTTCTACATTACAACACGCCGACACAAAGAGAGAGATTTGAGCGTCTGATGCACTCTGCAGAGGCTTCTGTTGGGATTTCCTTTACAAATATTCTGTCAAAGCTCAAACAAATCCTGTGGTTTGCTTTGTAACCGCAGAAGCATCTTCCCTGCTTTGCTTTACTTAATGTCCCTGGGTATCCTCAGTTAAATGATCAGTCACCAACAATGAAGTAGACAGGCAGGGACACCACAAAGAGCGCCGTTTCAGTGGAACAAAGTGGGGTGTGCATTTGATATGGGGGAGCCATGACAACAGCACCAGTCAGTTTTCTGCCAGGGACCACAGAGCTGCAAACGCATTAAGGGATTCCAGCAACAGATAGCTTACTTAAAACTGTAACAAACATGAGGCGATAGAGAACAGATGTCTGTTTATGCTGCTAATGGATTTCCTTCAGGCCTTCTACGAGGGTTTAAAACACCAATAGATCATTAGATTTGTTCTGAACATTTATTTATATGAACGGAGCTTACCGATGGATGGAACGCAAGCAAAACGACAGCTTTATATTGACACGGACAGCAGCGGTGTAATCAAGTTACCAAGGTTTTCTTAAGCTGGGCGGACACTGTGCGACTTTTTCACTCGTAGCACTCAGCTTCAGCTCAAACTGTACAACTTCCTCGAAGGGCAGATCTCACGAGTCATGTGCTCACACTGTACGACCCAGTTCTCGGATGTGACCTGACTGCTCACACCGTACGTCTGGTAGCAAGACATCGGCCCTAAAAATATGCTAAAAATGGCAGTTTTTACACAACACGTCAGACTTTTTTGTCTTGTTTTGCCTGTTGTCCTTCGGGAGTGCAGCAGGGGGACACACGGGGATTTATGGGGGTTGGAACAGGAAATCGAAATAAAGAAAGTAAATCTGTGTTTTGTGATCAGTTTAATTTGACATGAACACGACAAACACGCTTTCTTGACAATTCCTGTCACTGTGTGCAAAAAAAACGTGTAGAAATAAAAATGAACAACGTGTGTTATTAGGGAAATAGCGGGCGAGCGGTGTTGATACATGATTGCGCATGCGCCGTGAGCGGTCTGGTACTTTTTGGGTTGCAGCTGCTCGCAGCGCCGCTTCAACAGTGCGATACCCTCACGAGGAACGAGCAAAATATCAAACACTCCAGAAGTCCGTGCGAGCTCACGATTGCTGATCGGTAGCTGGTCACGTGGTGTTAATCGCCTCTCGTAAACCCCCGTACACTACACGACGCTCAGCGCAAAACTCGCCCAGATCTTGTGGATTCTCGCACGACTGGAAAATCGGCTCAAAAAAGTGAAAAAGTCGCACAGTGTACGGCCGGCTTTAGGTTGGAATGGTGCTGTTTTCTTCATGAAAGTATATCAATACAGCTTCATAGTAGCGTGCAATGTTATGGTGCCAGGATGGCAAGAGGTGGGCGTCATCACGAACTGGCTCATCAATTCAAAGATTCAACTTGGTTGGGTCATTTTTGCTATGCCAGGTCTCTGTAACACTATACTGAAGCAAAACTGTTAGCATCAATAAATTACACGAAGATTAAGAGAACAAAACAGAAACTGGGTAAAGACTCCACTTTGTAGCAAAGGAGCGCCGTAATTTTATAAAGAAGAAAAAGCCAGAGATGTGGGCACGTTTTATTAATTCACTGATTGTGGATTTATTAGAAGGAACAGCCACAGGCTTCTCTTATTCTAACCCACGAATGAAACATGCAAGATGCTGTCACATGTTGGTAGTGTTGATGTTGTGTTTTAACTTTTATATACCCGCCACACTTTAGTGGCAGCTTTTTTGGGGGGCATTTATTTATAATCATTCATGAACGTTAACGAATCGATTTTGAACGGGCATGGGTCACAATAGGAAGCATCGATTGAAAGGTGAATCATGGGTGCATCATCTTACCATGCCTTTAGATTTATAAGCCTATTCTACAGTTGAAATCAGAAAACATCTGGATGAGGCCTTTCTTTTAAGAGGTTGCTCGTTATCTCCTCATGCAATTTTTTGGGAGTGGGAGACAAAAACCAAGTACGATAGACACCATCATGATTGATAGACACAGATATGATTGACCCTAGGTGATAGCGTGAGCAAGCATAGGTGTCTTTGTGATGGACTAGGACTAGGATGTACCCTTTCGCCAACAACTCGCTGAAGACACCACAGCCTGGCACCGGACCAAGCAGACATAAAAAATGGGTTTATTTTAAAACAATACTTGCTTATTGTTCATTTTCATTCTGATACGCTTTTGTCTAATTTCCTTCCGAGTAGAGTCGGTGAACTTTTAACAAGTGGAAACAGTGAGGCAAAACTAAGAAATTAGACACCGTGAAGATGTCACGGAGGTGAGAGAAAAGAAGAGAGAGGAATCAGAAGAAGAAAAACAAACAAACAAAATCTGGGATGTGTGAAATATATAAAGAGAATTGTAATAAATTGCACATTATTCAAATGAAAAGCCACAGATAATTAAGCAATACTGGAGCACAATGAGTGGGCGTGAGGCGTTAGCTTGAGAAGTTGAAGGGCTACGGGGCAGAGAGGAGAGTCTCATGGAAAAGTGAGCGAGGGAGAGCGAGAAACTACCGATAAGAAAATACTAAACAGAGGAAGAAAAAAGATGTAGAAGGAATAGATTTGGAAATGAGGATGAGGCGGCTGAGTGGAAGTGAGAAACAACAGACAACCCCATTATCTCGACGATGCTAATCATATGTTAATGGTCGCTACAGTGAGGCTCATGAGTCATGGTAAACACATTAAAGAGGAAATATGTCTGCAAACGCAAGAAAAGTTAACAGAATTATTCGCCGTGCTTGTGTCTCCTCGAGCAGAGGGCACATTAGCAAGACAGAAAAGTGCTCAGGGAACACGACACGTTATGATTTCACGATCACTTTGTAAGGAAGTGCAAAGCACAATACAGAGACGGAGGACATAAGGCTGTCCTGAGACTGAAAAGATAAACACGACAACTTTAATAGAAGGTAGATTTACTTAGTCGTTCCCAGCAATGAAATGGAGCTCGCATATAAAGCTGGGAGGAAAAAGAAAAACAGATGATGGGAATGTTTTTGTTTTGCATGAAGAGGTTGATAGGGACAGTAAAATCTCTCTAATCTGACTAATACTGCATCTCTGCATGAACGGATTTATGTGAACATATAAAAGTTAACAGGCTTTTAAAATCCATTTTCAAATGAGAATGCGAAAGACGCATGGTCACATTTTAATATAAATTAACCTTATGATTATTTAATTAAGGATTTGTGTTTTTTTTTTTGAGAGGCAGGCACAGACTTCTACCATTAAAGGTGTGGAAAAATCATTCAACCAATACATTTGCGGTCGTCTCTAGTAGGAATGAATGCCTTGTAAGTCACACTCTGGGGAAAAAGCCCAGAAGCACCTGTGTTAGCACAGAGAATTCAGCTAGAAGAGAAAGTAGCTTCAGACGACAGGATTTGGAGTCTTTATTTCTTGATATTTGAACATCTCACCTTAGACTGGCCAACAGCAACACAACTCTACCACCAGCTCAATTTGTTCTGCAACGTTGATGTTTCATCTTCACAAATAACACAAGCCTAGAGGAGTCCTGCTGTGTGGTGGGGTTGCTAATGCTACCGATTAGCTTCAACTAGACCGAGACGTTCTCTGCTGTTTCCTGGATGCTAAACCAAAAACAGCCTTCCCCATCGTGAGTCAAGATGGGTGAGTCCATGAATGTTAAGTGACAGTGTGACGTAGATCTGTCGGGCTTTTCAAATCCTAGAGTTTCCCATCTATTTCCTATTAGAAGCTAATGCAGGAGATAGGTGAAGAAGGCTGTTTTATGTTCAGCCTGCATGAAAAACTCAGTGACTGATTATCATCAGAAACAATTATTTATAAAAAAAAAATTCCAGTGAGCCACACCTTTAAAGCTGTAATCGTAAATCCACAAACAAGCTAGCGTTTAGCCACAAACAGTGTCGGAACTCTCACCTCTCCCGCGGTGCATCACCCTAGGCCACGTCTACCCACTACCAGAACTCGTATTACCAGAGCAAACGATATAGCGCTAAACACCGTTTTCTAGGTACTCTGATCTTTTGTTTTCTGTGACTTCAAATGGTGTTTTGCTTTTGAGACACTGTCCTAAATCATCAAGTGCTTGCAGCTGGTTGTTGCTCTCACACTAATGTTATGTTACTAGTGCTCTGTTGCTAAATGCGCAAGCGCGTAATGTGGAGCGAAGGACCCAGGGAAGCGCAACGGTTCAATGAGACAGACAACTGGATGACCCAATCATTGGTTTTGGTCCGAGCCGTGTTATTGGCTGAGGGTCTTAAAAAATGTGAGAAAATCACGTCATTAACTCATTCATTTGTATTTCTTTACTGTGTGGGCGTCAGAACGAGCCCCCGCACCGTGAGAACAAACATCTCAGCTCTAAAGCCGATCTTCATCCACATATGTCACACGTCACATGATCAGGAAGC